AGACACAGAATTTCCAGAGAGTTAAGAGCTAATTTTAGCAAACAAATAATAATTAATTTTTAAAATCCTTGTCAAATTAAATCTTAGCTCTCTAGAAATTCTGTGCCTCAAAATAATGCCTCTGGCATTATTTTGCAATGATACAGTCTTGTTTGTTTCAAACTTGCGCTAATAGACCTAACTTGTATTTTTTGATTTATAATTCATTTTTATATTAAATATATTCTAAGTTTAGAGCTTTTTACTTAGTAATATAGTAATAAACCAATTATATAAGTGAAACTAATATTCTGAATATGCTACATATTGATGTTACATATTCAAACCTGAAATAAATAATTATGGCTTTCTGCCTATTTTGAGATCAGAATTGGGATTTATTCGTAATCAAACTATATCTCAAATCTTCTTAGAAGTTTTAAACTCAAGCTTTGTAATTGTTCTATTTATATGCTACTATTCAATTCTTGCGAGTTCAGTTTTTTAACTTGTTTGTGATTAGTGATATAACTCAACCATTTTGCCATTAATTGACAATATAACCAGAATTTGAGATTTTATTAAAACAAAAATACATTTATAATTTTATAATATTGATATTAATTAAAAGCTTAAAATTAATAAATGTATTCAGAAAATGTATACTAGGTTGGTATGCTATAGTAACTAAATATTTGCAAAGATCCATGTCAGAATAATTTTAACTATTGTTTTTTATCATAAAAATATAGTGAGAACAGAGATATACAATAAATTAATTTATTATAGGTTTGATCATATGAAACCTAGAGTTTTGCTTAGTCAGTCATATGTATATAAATAATTAATACATATTATCTAGCACTAGTTTTTAAATTTAAATTTTTTTTTTTTTTTGTATTCTCAGATCCAAATCATTATAATAAAAGTTTGTGAATTTTTTCTATAATATTTCAAAAAAATTATCCTCAATGAATTAAAGAAAATCTAACTATATTAACTTATATAAAATTAAAATAAGCAAAGAAATACTGTATAATTTTTATCAAATTAAATAAATGTTTTTATGTAATTATAAATTTATTTAAGCATTAGAAGCAATTTATAAATTTGAAGTTTCTTTATTTGTTTTTAATTGATTGTGTTAAAATAAAATAGACCTCTCTAGCCATTGTGGCATGACAATCTGGTATACATTTTCCAGATGCCTTATTTTATTATTACTACATAATGCTAAGTGAATAGTATAGCATTGGCATGCCACAGTAGCTAGAGAGGTCTATTTTATTTTAATGCAATCAATTAAAAACAAATAAAGAAACTTCAAATTTATAAATAGCTTCTAATGCTTAAATAAATTTATAACTATATAAAAATATTTATTTAATTTGATAAAAATTATACAGTATTTCTTTGCTTACTTTAATTTTATATAATTTAATATTGTTAGATTTCTTTTAAATCTAATTCTTGTTTAAATTCATTGAGGATAATTTTTTTGAAATATCATAGAAAAAATTCACAAACTTTTATTATAATTATTCAGATCTGAGAATACAAAAAAAAAATAAAAATAAATAAGTAAATTTGAAGACTAGCACTAGATAATTATTTATGTACACACAGTATGACTAACTAAGCAAAACTTGAAGTTTCATATAATCAAACCTATAATAAATTAATTTATTATATATTTCTGTTCTCACTACATTTTTATGATAAAAAACAATAGTTAAAATCATTCTAACACAGATCTCTGCAAATACCAAGTTACTATGGTGCTCCAAATTGAACCTAGTACATATTTTCTGGATGCATAATATATACTTAAACCTAGTTAAGAAAAGTGTACATATTAAAGAGATAATTTTAAATTTAATTTACTATATATTACTGTTTAAAGTTATTGTAAATGTATTTTTTTTAGTCTGAGTTGATTGGGCATTGTATATTAAATGTCATGCTTTGCAGGATTTTGAATATGTTTGGCTATTTCATTATACAAGTACTATTATCACTCTAGACTGATTCCATGTGATGTAATCATGTCTTAAAAAACCAATTTACCATTTTTAGTTTTTGGAATTGAAGAAACATATGCAAATAAAATTTTAGTTTCATTGTCATTGAATGATTTTCAAATTTTTATATTTTCAGGATATTCACAAAATATAATAAAATGATGCTGCATAAGAATAGATAATATTGTAGTAAAAAACTAATCAAGAAATTGAATCCAATTATAAACTGTAACCTCTTATCTCTATTAGAATCAACAATCATATTTACTTAGTTATATCTACCAGTTATAGATTTCTTCACAACTTGCATTAAATTCTCTAAATTATCAACTTCAGAATTTCTAAGTTTTAATTTAAATAAACCAAAAAATTTATCAGGTCCAAACTTCATATAACCAGAAACCATAAAACTATAAGTGATTTTGTCATACAAACCATGCATCACTCTCCAAGATAAGTATTTAATCATTGCATTATTTTTATTTTAACCTATGCAGTTGTCATATAAAAGGTAATACACTTTTCACCAAGGCTATAGTTAGCAAAATAATGATGAACAAGTAATATTACTGTATTTGTGCCTTTGTTGATGCTTTGGTTTTTGGGAATAAGATAATTAATCTAAAAAAAAAAAAAAATACAAATTTGGTTGGCTGAAAGTTAAAAAAAAAGTATCAGAAAATATCTACTTATTTCTTGATCATGCATCCTATGATTTTAAATATTTTTAATATTTTTGAAGACTGGAAAATGAGTAGATTTTTTTTTTAATTAGCATTAAAATTGACACTTTATAATCTGCTATTCAAGACTAGTATTAAAATTTCCAAAATTACAACTCCTTAAGACTATAAATAATGTCTTTTTTGCAAATTATACTTATTTATTAGTAGTATTTCTATCCTATTTTTAACAGACCATTCAGATTATATTAAATTCAAATTCCATCTCAAATCATATATTAAAGCTAACTTTTGAGAACATCCTTAGGTCTGTTATTTAAGTTCTTTGACTAATCCAAGTAAACATCTCTAATTTGAATAGCTAAATTTATCTAAATTTAAGGATCAATTCAAACCTCAGATTACAGATTGAAACATTATCCATCATGAAGATACTATTTTAAAAACAACAATAAAAAATTTTAAAAACTAATAGTTGGCAAGGCATTTATATATATATGTACATGGTATTATCTACTATAGTAGTTAGATGAACTCTGAACAAAAAATTATAACAATGCTTCTTGATTATTAATTATTGTTATAATAGGTTTTGCTTAACAACTATAAGTAGCACATGGCCAAATAATATTAATTTTGTACATATTGCAATGCAAGGTATAGAGAATCTTTAATACTATCATATCAGTATAATTTTGTAAATATGCATATTCACGAAATTATATAGAATTACAGATTAAATGCTATTGCTTTCACTATTTAATTATTGATAAATTATCTGCTGTAGTATTGCCTTCTCACACACACCAAATACTTCAACCTTATAAAGTGATTTAAAGTATGACACTCCTTTTTGCTGTGAAGAATAAAGAATTAAGACATTCTCTGCAAAATTTCATGAAATATGATTTTTGATGTCAATTGAATTTGGAAGTTCAGGTCATGGAAGATTAATTAAGAAATTTAAATCTATTTTGAATTTGGCAATACTATCTCTAAAATAAAATATAAATTTAGTAATATTAAGATAATTAAACTAAATTAAATTATTTTCTATAATTTTAACATTCTAAATATGCCCAATTATAATGGTTTGTCTATTTGTTTAATTTTTGTAATGTCTTATTCATATTCCAATATTTGGCTCCAAAATGTTTTTGTTTACAAAGCATACATAAATCACTTCATGCTGTCATAAATTAAATTTCAGGAAAATATTGTTTCCAAATATGTTGAAAGCTAGATAAACTAATTTTATTTGTGCTATTATGTTCTAAGTTATTATAAATGCAATACAAAGTTCACTTGCTTTTACATGCAGGCAAATAAATTATCTTACAAGTATTGTTTTAAAAACTATGCCCTAAATAATATAATTGTAAAATAAAGTTAAGTTTTATTAATAAAAAGTTTTTGTAACTTTTAATTTTTATTTGATTTAATGTAAGTCTAAACGTTTTCTAATTGTACATAAAAAATTATTTTGTTTAAATTATATAATGTTATTTAAAAGACTATGTTTAATTTTATAAGACAAAGTAATGAACAGATGATTTCTCTTATATGATCTTTATTGGCCATTTTCTTTAGTTAATAATCATTTTACAAAACAGAATCAAATTGAATTTCATTCATTAAGTAAAATTGTTAGAGTACTAATTTTTAAATATCTTTAAACTTTGATAGTTTCATGAACTTTTTATTAATTGATTTTTACATATGGGCTGTCATTAATAGAAATAAGGTGAAAAAAAATTAATACCTTAACTTTCACAGCTCATATCTTAATTAATTTTAAAGCTATTTTGATAATTTAATATACAAAATAAAGCTTAGTTCTTAAGCTTCTTTTTTATTAAATTATTAAGATAACTTTAAAGTTTATTAAATTATGAGCTGTAAAAGTTAAGGTATTAATTTTTTTTGCCTTATTTTTATTGATAACAGCCTATATGTCTTGGTGTAGAAAATTTATTTTCTATGCCAAAATATTTATTTTATCTGCTCTCAGATTTTTATAGCAGCAAAAATAGTACTAATAATATTACAACAATCATATTTTAAAAAAAAATTTATTTTTGCTGCTATGTATAAAAATCTGAGGGGTCTAATATGTTAGTAATAAAATAGTAACAGTTAATTACATACCGAATAATAGAAGTCTATGCTAATTAGCAAAATTTATAATAAATTTAAGTACATTTAAGATAGTTAAAAAAGAAATTGAATAATTGCTAACACATCCAGTTAAACTATAAATTTTTGGTATAAAACCAAGGCTTTGATAATGTGTATGTAAGCTTTTCTACCTTCTTTTTTAAATATCATAAATAATATACCAAGCTTTTTGGCAAATTGTCAAACCTTCAAATTTATAATACATTGTTAAGTATGCTTTTGATGTTCCATTTTTGAATTCCAATGCATTTATGCTAGCATCAATAATTCCAAGAAAACACAAACATGATTTACTTGGAGTTATTGCTTTTATTTGTTGATATCTTCTAAGTGCTTATTGAGGATTAACACTTAAAAGACACTCTCTAGTACAACAATCAAGTTGTTTTAACTTTATCAAAAATGCATCATTATTTTGCTTATCTAATCACTTTTCACAGGCCTTTTTATTTTTAATTACTATACACATTGGATAAAGAATATATATCTTATGAAAATGTTCAGTTTGATTAGATATAAAAAAATTATTATTATATAAGATTAAAGACATTGGCATTTTATTTAGAGCTTCAAATTTATTAGTTTTATTATCAGAATCACCATCTGAATTCTTATTTATTAAGTAAATATCTTGGAGTTTAGAAATTTCATCATTTAAAATTTCCAATTTGTTATAAGTTTCAGCAAAAATGCTATCAAAAAGTGTATTTTTATTATTATTGTTAGCCATCAAAGAGAATCAATTGTAATTACAAGCCATTCTTATAGTAAAGTTAAAATTATTAATAAAAAAATTTATTATATTATATTAAGCATTACAATATACATAAAAATTTTATATAAACAAGTTTTGGATCATTTTACTACAATATTGAAGGATAATTAGACTTTATTTGTTAGAAGTACCAAAGAATGCATAATGGTAGTTTTTAAACTAGTAAAGATATACAAATGAATATATCTCAAGTAGAGTTCCAGCACCACACTATAGAAACTGGCACTTGCAGAACATTAATCTCAAGTTTCACTAACTTATCGTATATGTAGTGACTTTTAAAAACTATTTATATACAGCAATATGACATAATATAAGCTAGTTTAATACTAAACAAATTCAAAACCTTCTAAGATTTGATGCTTTTGAATCTTCCCTACTTCAAGTAATTATTATAAAGTAGAAAGTTAATCCTGTTTATTTATACTCAAATTTTTTCTAATAATCGAGTTTGTTATAGAACCTTACCTTGCAGTAACTATATATATCATCTTAATTATTTTATATCCAAACTAAAGTGTTTAGACTTATGTGACTTCAGTAATTTCTTATAATCTAAACAACAAAGAATTACTGAAATCACATAAGTCTAGGTGCTAAGAGACCCATAAGAATTTAGTTCCTGATCTGAGTACAATAGCACAAAGTATTATACTATTCTATGTATAATAAATTTAGATAAAAGCTATAAGTATTTATGAAAGTAATTTTCTAATATATCAAAGCAAGAAAAAAAATATCAGCTCAAAACAAAGTTATATTTCAATAAAGAGCTAATAGGATCTTAATACTTATCTATAAGTACTTCAAATTTCAATGACCCAAACTTATTTTTTTTTTTTTTTTTTAAATATTAATGGTGAGGCCATGCCTCTATCTTTATTGAATATTTAATTAAGATTTTACATAAAGTACAATTCTGCTTT